AAAATAATAAAACACTAGGTAAATCTTAAAAGCAATAGCCAGAGACTAAAAGAAGCATGACTAGTTGAAATCTAAAAGAAGCAAACAATTTTATACAAACTAAAAGCAAAAAATGGCTAGATAAAGGCTAAAGTAACAAAAGGTTAACTAAATGCTTAAAATTTTCATCCATCCAGCCATAATTTCCGTTAGATTTAGAGTTGGGTTGCAGGGTTTGCAGCTTGAGCAGAGAGTCCTAGACATCTCTTTTTACAGCCACCTCTTCTAGCACTTCTTGTATGATATTAAGGCAATCCCATGCCAGCTGAGAGACATATGGCACTTTGCCACTGTCTCTAAACTCGTCTGTTCCGCACCACACTGCACCAGTTAAAGGCATGCCCACTGTCAATACCTGTTCCCACTCAGTACAGTTTATGAGACCACCTTGTTAGTGCCAAGCGAACTGCTCCGATGTGATGATTTTTACGTAAGCAGACAGCAGCCCTTGATTGGCCAGTGGAGCTACATCACTGGATGACCCGCCCAGCAAAACTTCAAAGTACATCTGAACCTCCATTTTCTCTCTGATTGTGTTGAGTGTGTGCTGATTTAGTTATTTTCTGGTATAGAAGTTCCTAAATTAGTGCTGTGGACGAATGATAAGGTACAGACATTTCTAACTTTATTGGTTGATATTACGGTTCAGCGTGAGCTGGACAGCGCCACAATAAATGAGTGCATTTACAGAGATGATGGTGCAATATGGCTACACCCAAACTAATAAACAGTGCCAGGATAAGCTAAAGAAAATGAAGTCTGATTATATGGTAATTAAGGATCACAATGGGCAGAGTGGCTTGAAAACATTGACCTGTTACAATACTGCCCACTTTGCATTGACGATTTCGCCCACAGAGTGGGGAAACAGATCACAGTGGCAAATCACCAACACCTGAGAAGAACCAATAACATGAGAGCTGAGTGGAGTCACACTTATCTATTCAAATTAATTCAATTCAAAAATACTTTATTAATCCCAGAGGGAAATTAAATGGCAAAGCACTCAAGGGCCTGCCCACTGCCGATGCCCACTCTAGTCTAGCGGTGGAGATAGTCTCTCCAGCATGTCCTGCGTCTTCCCAGGGTCTCCTCCAAGTTGGATATACCCCAGGGGGCATTCTTTCCAGATGCCTACACCACCTCAACTAGCAATTGTCAAAGTAGAGGAGCAGCACTCTATTCTCTCTCCCAGAAAACTGAACTTCTCACCTTATTTCTAAGAGCAAGTCTATCTACAATGTAGAGAAAACTCATTTTGACAGCTTGTATCAGCAATATCATTCCTTGGGTCACTACCCAGAATTTGTGACTCTAGGTGAGGGTAGGAACATAGACCAACCTGTAAACAGAGAGCATCTCAGCTCCCTCTTTACAACATAATGGCACAGAGTACACGATACTGCAGAAGCTGCACAATTCATCTGTTGATTTCACACTCTAATCTTCCCTCAGATGTGAACAAAATCCTGAAATACGTACATTTCTTCACTTGTGACAACACCTTATTCCTTACTCGGACAGGGTAGTCCACCTTTTTCTTACTAAGAACCATCCATCCATCCATCCATTCATTATCTTTTACCCGCTTCTTCCAGTTTGGGTCACGGGGGTCCATATCCAGTAGTCTGACTAAGAACCATGGGTTAAAATATGTAAGTGCTAATTTTCTCAGCAGTTTTACACTCAGCTGGAAACCACCCCAATGAAAGCTGGAGCCTGTGGCATGATGATGCCACAGCGCCACATCATCTCAAAATAGCAGAAATGGACTCCTGAGGCCACAAAACTGAATCACTTTGAGCCCCTGGCTGCACAGATAAATTATGTTTATAAAAGTTAAGAATCGCTGACAATGGGCAGCCAAGGCCTAGTCCAACTCTCACCCAGAAGGGGTCCGACTTATTGCAGGCAATGCAAACCAAACTCACAATGTATGTATAGGGACTGAATGTCCCATAGCAACACCAAATCCCATGCACTTCAAGGACTGTTGACGGATGCCTTATCCAAATCTACAAAATACATGTAGACTGTTTGGACAAACTTCCATTCCCCTTCCAGGACCCTTGTAAGGGTAAATAGTTTCTCCAGTGTTCTACAGCTGGAAAGAACCTGCATTGTTTTTCCTACTGAAGTTCAACCAATGACTGAACTCTCTTCTCCAGCACCACCAAATAGACTTTACCAGAGAGACTGAGCTAGTGACCTTACCAGGGAGACTGAGGAAAGGGATGTCTCTATAATTGGAACACACTGTCCCCTTTTTGAACAATGGATGTACCACCATAATTTGCCAATCCAGTAGCATTGTTAACAATGTCCATGTAATGTTGAAAAGTTGTTTAAACCAAAACAGCTCAGCAACAACAGGAGCCTTGATGACTCAGAACTGATCTTGTCCATCCCTAGAGCCCTGCTGCTGGAGTCATAGCACTTATCTTTTGAAGGGGCTGAATATGTAGATACAGATTAAACAGCTCAAAGCATGCAGAAGTAGTTGGAATGCAAAACATGTACAGAAATTTAAAAGGATGGGGAAAACAATACTATGAATACGGAATTAGCCGTAACATATTAAACTCAACACACCAACAAAGACACTGCTAAAGTATCAGTTTGTAAAAACATCTTTTAGAAAACCAACATGGAAGTTGTTCTTATTTTCTGTGAAACAAATTAGAAAATGAGATGAAAAACCAAAAGAGTAGATGTAAGAAGCAGAAAAGGAAGATGGTTTATTATAGACTGTAATACGAATATATTTTTATTGCAGAGTTTAGTTGTTAAAAGGAAATTGAACAATGCTAATAATAACACAGTCTGTATCTTTTATTCCTAAAACATGTGTCTTGTACTGTTGGACAGGCTTATCTCCTTGATTCATTACTGCTGCCTCCCTCCTTTATTCCACCCATCCTGACCTACTCCTTCCATACTAATTAGTAGCTTTTTCTGGTTGATTAGACATTGTTTGTTTGCTCCTTTTGTGCTTCTCCATCTTTCTCATCCTGGCCTTCTCCACAATATTGCTCATTCTCCATTATCTGCCAAGAACTGACAACCAAAGTCAGTGCATTGCATACCATAGGTGTTACAACAATTATTATTGAAGAAGATGTGTTCCCCTAACATTAAAAAAAATACTCATTTGAACCCCCCACTCCACACACACACACATTTACCATGAAATATTAGTTCACCCAGTGCTAATTGTATTTCTTTGTAAATGAATCCATTCCACTTGATTACGGTAACAGGAAAATACTCAAACCACTAAAAGTCCACTCCGGGCTTTCCTGGTTACCTACAACAACTCACCACACCACAAGCAATGTTTCCTCTCAATCACTTGCCTTGGCAGGGGACGCTCATCTCTTTGCAGGTTTTGTCAATGGGGTGGGGTGGGGGAGACAACGCTCTATTGCTTGCTAGCTTAACGCTACTTTAGTGTCTGCAGTTGTCGACTGGAGGGGGAGGGGGGTTGGATGCATGAGAGAAGTGGAGCATGCTCTATTCACACAAGGACAGCTATTGGCCAGGCTATTTCTTGTTGTATAGTTCTTCTTGTAAAAAAGTTACTAAGTTATTGAATCGAGTGTTTACTTATGTATGTAAACGTAAATGTTTAATAACATGTTAAAATACATCAGAATGCAGGAAATAGCATCTAATTTATTCAAAAATTTCTGGGGGAGGACCCCCAGACCTTGCACCAGTGTCTCCCCCAACCCACACCCACACGTTACAAATACTTCTGACACCAAAGGCGCATACACTTTTTGTATGTCTTCAGATTTTCCATGTAGCAAAGGTGAATTTCAGATTGCGTCTGTGATTTTGCTGTACTGATGAAGAAATTCCACTTTCACCTCCTCTTAGCTATCATCCAACAAAGATTGCCAAAAATCTGGGAGTCATGGCTGAAGAATTTTAGGGGAATAATAATAATGGTAGTTGGAGTCTCAACTCTAACTTTATTGTGTCACACTTGAGAAAAATGCTTACTAAAGAATTAAAGATAAATGTAAACTATAGTCCCTGTACAAAAGTGCACTTCTTCCTGGAAACTGTCTTCTCCTGGCCTCAGTGCCTCTGTGATATCATCCATTGCCACAATGCTTTTCCAAAAATAACACTGATAATTAATTTCCGTTGTGAAATGATTCATCAACGCACTGACTTGCCTTCATATTTTACCCTGCATCGATTGCCCAGCCTCCTCGCGTGTGCTTCATTAGTTAAAGGGAACTGGAGTGAGGCAGAGAAAACGGGCAGGGGGGAGACAGAGAACGGCACAGTTCAGTCAATTACGACTGTTTGATAGCATTGCAAAAAAACACATTATTCACTACAGAGAGCTGACATGTAAATTGGAAGTGATGAGCTGGAGAGTTTGCATCAGTTTGCAGCAGCATTGCTCTTTTTATAAAACTATACAGCATGCAGTTTTTCAAATCTGAGGAACTTCAAAATGGTTGAAAACCAACTTTGTTAAAACTTACTGATTTAGATCCAAAATGCGTTCTTAGCAACAAGCTTTAACACTCTGCCACATTTAGATTATGAATCTGAAAGAGCTCTGCTGGCCTATTGAATTTCAATTCCCATTTTGAATTAACTAAGCTGAAATTGGATCTTCTAAAGCTGTAATGCATAGGACATTAAATGGAAATTTAAGAAGCCTTAGCTCCCATTAAAAGGGACAAGCCAGTCAATTACACATTCATACATTTGTATGAATTATGTTTGGGAATAATCAATTGCCAAAACCACTAGTAAATAAGTTCTATGAAGCATTCACTAAAGGGTTTCACTGTTGTGTAGTATAACTTTTGCAGCATCTCTCTGTCTGTTCCCTTGTTCACTTACAAGTAAATACTATTGTAGCTCTTATGCATGGTTTTTCACCCACCACTGCCAACAATACAGTTTTTTCCCTATTTCCTCCTTTTCTATAGGCCCTCCATCAGCACCTCTTCATCTCATCTCCAATGTGAACGAGACCTCCGTAAACCTGGAGTGGAGCCCCCCACGAAGCTCTGGGGGGCGTCAGGACTTGACGTACAATGTTGTTTGCAAACGCTGTGGGCCTGATGGCCGACGCTGCCAACCCTGCGGGAATGGCATTCACTTCAGCCCCCAGCAGCTGAGCCTGAAGGGAACCAGGGTGTCCATCAACGAGCTTCAGGCTCACACCAACTACACCTTTGAGGTGTGGGCTGTGAACGGTGTTTCACCTCAGAGCCCGGGGCCAGAGCAGGCTGTGTCCGTGACTGTCACCACCAACCAGGCTGGTAAGAGGAGCAGAGTTCGATGACTGAATAGATAATCATGTGACTACGTTTGGGAGAGGAAAGGCAAACCAGAAGCTGTGTGTGTGGTTTGGTTTGTTCTAAGAGTATTACAGTAGTCCCTCACTATATTGCGGTTCACTTTTTGCGGCTTCGCTATATTACGAATATTTTTAAAGCTAGTTTTTCATATTGTGTGTACTGTACATGCTGTGCACTACTGTGCATTCACCTCATCACCATCTTCATGGCAATCGCCAAAGAGCATAGCAGTGTTTCTCCTGGTTAACTTGCCATGGTGGGGCGCTCATCTCGTTCATGATTTTTGTTAACCCGGGGGGTGGGGGGGATGATGACACATGGATACATGCCTGTACTGCCTGCTGCTAGCTTAACGCTGTGGGTGGGGGTGGATGAGGGGAGGGGGGTGGGGGGTTTGGTTACAACTGTTGCTTCTCAACAAGAAGGGCACAGGATCACCTCCTGGCCTTGTACCTTTCTGCGTTTACTTTGCATGTAAACGCAGAAAGTACCCCCCCCCCCCCCCGGGGGGGGGGGGGGGGTACTTTAGTTTCCTCCCACAGACCAAACAAAAGCATGTTAATTTCTATGGTCCTAAATTGTTTTGGGGTGTGGAAGAGAATGTGAATGTTTGTTTGTCTCCATGTGTCTCTGTGATGGACTTGGAACCTGTCCAGCATGCACCTCGCCTCTCGCACAGTGACTGCTGGAGATAGACACCAGCTCCCTGTGACTCAAAAAGGAAAAAGCGAGTAAGGAAAATGGATGGATGGCATACATAATGTTTTGTAAAATGCCATATGCCAGTTAAGGAGCATTTTCAAAGAAGATTAACAGCTTTTGAAAAGTTCCTCTTCACACTGGATGATGACTCTGCTACAACATAAAAAAATCAACCAGGGCAGGGATTATCTTGCAAAGTCTTGGCAAAGTCTTGGAGGATTTTTAAGACCACACAGAGCTCCACATTATGCAAGATAAAATGTTATAGTTTATATTGGTTTTGAGGGTGCACAACGCTTCCATATCGAGGTTGCAGTATTGTCACTGGAGCATGATGACAGCACGTGGATGTGGGGCTTGTGCACATCAGCGTGGCTTTATGATCAAGACGTTATAGCAGAACTGGCTCCACTGGTTTCATGCTGTGGGTGCAATCCTGATTGTAAAAGGGTCATTGAAATAAGCTTGAACAAATGTGATACGTGTGGTTTCACATCTTCTTGTGCAAAGTTGATTCTGATGTGGTCCAAAAGAAGCATGCCAGTGGCCAGGGTGCAGGAGAGTGTCTCTGGGATGAAAAAAATAACAGGGGAAGGAAATAATAAGGGCATATAAGTTTTATGTTTCCAAATGTTTTAAATGTTTATTTTAATTTGCTGCTATCCAGCCATGTTTTAGTAGATCATATTTGTCATGGAGAAAGTAGCAGTGTTATCATCCTGTTTGAAGGAAGCCTTAGGGAAGAGCGATGCAAGGGATTTTCCCACACCTCTGAGGTGGATGGATTATCTCGGCAAAGAAGAAGTCCTCATTAACACAGATTTACACAAATTTGTGAACAATATTTGAGAGAAAAGGCCTATTGTGTACAAAGAAAAAGTCTTGGATCTTTGAGTCCAGCTCATCAAATATGGGAGCAAAAACAAAAGTGTTGCGTTTATACTTTTGTTCAGTATAATAAGTGGCTAAGACAGCAGAAACAAAACACTAAGAAGCAAAACCACAAGGAGCACACAAGGACAAAGGCCATGAGTTGGACCAGGATGACAAACTGAAGAGTGATGAGAATCAGAAGTACAAGAATGCTGGGGGTGATGAAAAGATTGGAGACACCTGAGACATGAGATACCAGAAGCAGGTGTGAGGGACAGAGATGGGCAGAAAATAGAGCTGACTGAGAGAAAAGAATCTGATCGTACCAAAAAACACTGGGGAGCAAAGCTAAACTCAAGACACTTGAAGAAATATCAGGGAAACAGAAAATGAACACACGTTGAAGGCAGATGTCCCTGGTCGCTGAGGGACTGGAATAGTGAATGTTATTGTAGTTTTCAAGATGAGTGTTTTTCTGGACTGGAATTGAACAATGAATGCAAATAAACATTAATGTTTTTGGTGCAAGATGTTCAAGTTGGTAGGAGTTACACTTCATAAGAATAGAGGTAGGGTTTTATCTTTTTTGTTTGAGGCGTTGCAGAGTGATAGATCCTTGTGACAGGAGGGAGAAATTTTATCCATCATCAGGTGTAGTAGTAGAACGAGGAGATGACCATGGTGGCCTTGGCCACGCTAGATTGTCGTTTAGCCACCCCAATCATTTGGGAAAACTATACCTTTAACCAATATAAAAGCACTGTTTCCTGTTTAAAGGTGTGGCTGGTTCATATACATATATATATATATATATATATATATATATATATATATATATATATATGTATATATATGGTGGTAGCCATCTTGGATTTTGACACTGCAGTCCAGTTTTTGATAGAGAACTTTCTGATGCCTAGATGCTGGCAGACACCAAAAGGGAAGTCATTACCACACATATTTTTCAAGGTATCCTGCTCATAAGATGGATGGACATGTATGGTGGCAGCCATTTTGAATTTTGGAAGTGGCAACCCAGTTTTACCAATGAACCGTTCTTATGTCTATATGCAGCCACACACCTAAATGGAAGTTGGTGTCTCACTTACTTTTCAAGCAATCATGCTCTTAACACAAACAGACTGTATTTCCAATTCCCCTCTTTGCCCTGCGATGGTACAGAACACCATAAACACCAAAAAAGACACATCATGACAATGCATTTTTCTAGTTACCACTGGATATCAGAGTGCCGTGGTTATTGATGATTTTTTTCACTACACGTTGTCATACATTCAGCCTCAGTCTTGCAAACATCAGTTGTCTCTCCATCCCTTTACTTTCTTGACTTAATTCCAACAGCTTCTGTTGGTTTTACTCACTGATCCCAAAATCCAGAGTCCTGGCATGAAAATTTGTGTTGTACAGATTGACTTTGAAGCTCTGCCTGGTGTTTTTGCTTTTTATGAGTAGCACTCTGCATAATATATTTACTGAAGAAGTGTGTTGTTTTGGGCAAGGTGTAGTGATCAATATAGAGGCTGTGATGGACTCAAGAGTTGGAAATGATTTTCTGCAGAGTTTCATTGAAGTTTTGCATAATTGAGCATGAGAAGCCTAGACTGAAGATGGGTTACCCAAGCTATTTTTAGCAGCCATACTAATGAATTAGATGAGTTGTATTGATTTGTGAAAACTTCATTACAGATGCTGCTAAATTGTGTGTATTTCTGCAAGTGTGTCCAATTACTCCTGTAGAATAAACTCATGAATACAGCTTCTGCTTCAGGGATGAAGAGGAGCCCTCAAACCCAAGGATGTATTCAGAGTCTCCTGTTGTTTTGCAATTTAGCCATTTTGTAACCTGTTGTTGTGCAAATGGCTTTTACAACCCCTGGTCCTTTCTTTTCGTCGCTGCCCTCTTTTCTCTGATTACAGCTCATCGTTACCTCGGTCTTCTTTACAGCTCTGCTCTTGGGTGGTAACCTTAGTGCTTTTTGTCTCGTTTTTATCACTAATTCCCTTTCATGGGGAAAGCGAATATCTTGAATAGAGCCTGGACCAGCAATTTAGGACACAGTGGCTTGATTTATCAGCTTGGGTCTAGAAGATGGAGATGAATAGATGTGCAACCTGTGGGAGAGCAGAGAGTCGTGCCAGACAGGCATGTGTGGGAGCTGTAATGGAGCGTGCCCTGGAGTCCGAGGCTGAGGGCGTATAAAAGCATGTCAGCATGGTCATACAAATGCACGCTCACACAATATACTCCCAAATGAACTTTTTCAGACATAGATTCATACAGAGACACAGTAACATAAATACACACACAGAGCAGTGTCCCCTTGAGGTTGCTCATGGCTAATCCCCTGATTTGAAGTTGTAAGATATAGATGATGTTGCCTTTGGCTCGTCACTGCTGCATGTTTCACAGCTGTTTGCCGGGATTAGTTAGCTCATACTGCAGCTGAAAGCTTTATCACTGTGTGTGTGTGTGTGTGTGTGTGTGTGTGTGTGTTTGTATACCGGATTGAATGCGTAGCTAAAAAGTAATGAAACACGTTACACAAAACATTTACATTCGAATAGATCAAGCTGCTCTACATTTTTCTTTCAATGTCTATCTCCATGTGTGTGTCTCTTTCAATTTGTGCGTGCGTGTCAAAGTGAATAACTCCAGACTGATTGGATTTCTTCCTGCAAATGCTCACTTGGGGCTTTGAGCGCTCTGGTTTCAGCTGCTAGTAATCCAGCCAGTCATCTGTGTCTGTCCCTCTCACTCTCCATCGCTTTCCCTCAACCAGACACTGTGGATTATGCATTTATTATGATGGATTTATTAGGATCCATAAGTACCGTGGAAGAGATGCCTGAGCCAACACCCCACCCGTAAAAGTTCAAATTTCGGCTAGAGAGGATGAAGTGCTGGAAGCAGGTTGGAAAGGAAGAGAAGCTCAAGTTGTTTTGCATAAAATAAAAATGGAACAAGGTGCAGAAAAAAACAACAACCTCCCAGCAGATTCAAATGAAGACGTGAGCCATTCTGAACGCACCTGTGACCAATCATATAGTTGGGCACACAGAGGTCAGATTCCGAGTGTCGCCATAAACAATTCCACTGTTGTAAATCAGTCTGGGTGTAACCCTTTCACCCAGACTTCATGGAGAAACAGAGGGGGAGTGATGAGGGGGGGGGGGGGCTCTAAGCTGTGAACTGACCCCTGTCTGTAAATGGACGTCCTCTCTGTCTTTATGGGATCAAGCACTTCATGTGTGTGAGAAAAAAGGCGAAAAGAAGTTCAGTGAGACGTGTTTGATGACGAGAAGTGAATTAGTGCTCGAGAGGAGTTGTGTGCGTCGGCAAGTCTGTTGGCTCACGTGAACGCAAG